CCCCCCCCCCCCCCCCCCCCAAAAGGGTATACGTAATTATTTACGCCCCTTTTTTAGTTCGAGGACGCTATTTACGATTCGGGGGAAGATCCCGGAAGCTTCAGGACCATAGATCCGGGATTAGACCCAATTTGCTTCCTAAGCCCTGGACCCTAGATCCTAAACTCTCAACTCTAAATCCTACACCCTTTTTCTAAATCCTAAGCTCTTAACTCTAACTCCTCAGCCCTTTTTTTCTAAATCCTAAACTCTTAATTCTAAATCCCAAACCCCAAAACAGCGTGGACTCTGGACCTTTTCCCTGCAAAGAGTATATGATAGTATACCATAGGTATCCGGGCATTGAAACAACACGTGGATTTGTTCGATTTAATAAAGAAGGAGGTATAGAAGGAGGGTTTAGTTTCCATTCGCCAGACGTCTACAAGCTAGCAATGCAGAGGGCGGCCGGAGCTCCACTCACGGATTCCGACGGCCATAGAGCTTAGCTCCTAGGCCTCTCTCGCCAGTTAGGCGAAAGTGGAAAATCGCACATGACACCCTTGGGGTGATGAGCGTGAAGGAAGTGCGATGTCCGTAAGACCGTCACCCGCACATATAAGGAGCCTGGTGAAATCATCTGCAGGGCGCCCCACATGATCCGAATGAGAGTCGGGTCGCTCTCCCACCCCGACGACTTTGACGCACCCTTCCGGGCCCATATAAGCCCTGAGAGGGTTTAGGGTTTAGGGAGCCCTACCCGAGGCATCGGAACCATCCTAGTCGCGCTGACTAGGTCAACGGCATGACGACTTTCTCCGGCGCGGCACCTTTGTTGGGAATTGCATCCCTGATTCCCCCAAGCTAAAGAGCATCAAAGGCTTTCTAGGCTTTCGGTGTGAGCTTTTGGGTGTTGTTTTCCCTTAACTAACGGTTTTCGACGGTGGTTTCGAGTCTAAGCCCTTCTGAATGGAGCTGTGGGAGTCGGAATCCAAAAACTGCATTACGCCCAACCTCCCATATGCGACGTGCTCGCAACTCCAAGCGACTCCATCCTCGGTACACTTTAGGGTTCTGTTGTGTTTCTTGTTTAGGGTTTAGGGTTTCGGAGTTCCGGGTTTCTCTTGCCGCGACTGAGGTTGGAGGTTTGGCAAGTGATGGCTCCCACATTGGAGGATGTAGACGCAGCTTAGCCAAACCCTGAGCAACTAGAGCAGAATAACAGGCCCGATATCCAAGGCCAACAGCCGGTGCCGGCCCCCATGGTTTGCAGAATTTGATGAAGCCAAGTAACAACCCTAATGAAAACCCTAAACCCATCTGGGACGGGCTGCGAGCGGTGGAGCAGCACCACAACCTGCAATGAGTGGTGCTGCAGGGAAAGCCAGGCAAACGAAGGCTAACCTATGATAAGTAGAAATAGTATGCACTTCTTCGTCCATGAATCATCACGCTATCATAAACCTCCAAAATCTGTCCCGATTCTGAGAGCCCCTACATTAGTTGAACATCCTAGCCGGCCAATGAAAGCAACGAGACAGCTCGTCTGTGTTTTTTCGTTTGTTCTATGCAGCTGCAACGACACAAGCAGCCGGGTAGGTGGCAACAAGGATAATCCAAAACTTGTTTTCCTGTCAAGTTTAGGGTGTAGGGAGCTTAGCCAGAATTCAGCACTGAGCCCCCTATAGTGTTCAAAGCGAGATTGGCTTTTAAACGGGTTTGCTGTAAGGTGGCATCGACACATCGAGGCGACAGTGGTGGCTGTTATGCCGCAATGGACCGTGTGGCTCAACCAAGTGTGTTCCATGGCCCTTCCCTACACCCTAAACCCTTCTTGCATTTCCCCTTGCAGAGTAGATCAAGGTAAGGCGCAGAAGTTTGAGTGCAGTTTTCCTATCACAGTCTGCTGCGCAACAGGACGCGTCTGCGCCCTTCGTCATGTAACCTTGCGCGACATAACTCACGAGGTCACCTCGAAGCTCGCGAGGACGCTACCATCCTTAAGAGCCTTTAGCCCTAAATCTAACCGCTACCCCCTAACCCCTTTAACACCCTAAACCTGACACCCAAACCCAAAACTCAAAACACCACTGCCGCCAGGATTCGGGGCTGGCTGTCCATTTTCCCCTCTAGTCGCAGTGGGAGTGACCATGTCGGGAGCAGCAGCCTCCATTTCACACGGCTTTGAAATAAAGGCTTAAGGGTTTAACGGCTTAGGGTTTAGGGTTTAGGTGTTTTTTTCAATGCAGGGTTTAGGGTTTAAGGTTTAGGGTTTAGGGCTAAGGGGTTCGTAGCCCCAAACCCGGGTAAGCCGGTTACAGGCTGTTGCGCTCATACGCATTGTCTGCAAGGCTTCAAGAACTTCTGAACTACCCTGTAATTGAAGTTCTTGTATGGGCGCTGGCTCTTCCGTGTGTTGATCTCTGATTGTAAAGTATTGTAATCAGAGTCGGGTACAACTGTACGTACAACTACCAAAGACCTTTCTGACCCGCAGTTTCGAGACCAAAGGGCCTCCAGCATTCTTCGGATCCCAGGAGCTAGAATGAGAAGGGTGGACTCTTGAATCGGAGCCTCCTGAAAAGCCCTCTCTCTCTCTCACACGGACTCAGTCACCTGTCAGCCTCGACGCAAGGCACAGCGATTTCGCTATGTGCGTGTATCTACAATGAAATCACATGCGGGAAA